TCCCCAACCTAGTTCCTGCCCCCAGGACAGGAAAAACACCCCTCCCTTTCTTTGGGTGTAGAGTTAGGGCTCTCTAGCCCATGGGCCTCTCCTGGCCCGTGAAGTTTCCTCCTCCAGCTGATGAAGGATTGTGCGCCCCTCCAAGCCCCCTCTTCCAGCCCCCCACCTTCTTCAGGCTAGCATATGGGGGGGATCCCTGCTGGGGAATGTCAGGGGGAAGCAAAGTTGGCCCCTTGCAGGCTTCACTGCACCCCCACATGCACCACCCACAGAAAGCCCCAGGTCGTGCCACCAGTGTGGTCATCCTGTCTGCTGGGGGCGGGGGGGATTTGGTCCTCAAGCAGTTCCCCTCCCATGCTTTGCTGGGGTGGAGGGTGGTGCAGAGCACCGCTTCCACACTCTGGAGTCTCACACTGCATGAGAGTTCCCCAGCAACCACCTCCCTGTAAGCAGCTCCTGAGCTACCATCCTCCAAGCACTGGTTTCCCTCTAAGGAGTAGCCAAGAGTGTGTGAAGACCTGGGGCTCAGGCGCTTGGTTGCCCCGTGCCCCTGAGCAGTTCGGCTGCCGGCACTGGCACCAGCCGTGTCTTTCCGTGCGCACAAAGCGATCGTCCCATGTCCGGCCCATCTCTCCAGTCTGCCCTTTTCTACCAAAGATGGAGAACTGTGACGGCCAGCTCCATTTCACAACCCAGAGATAGACGAATCCTCCTGTACTTAAACACCCCCAAACCACAAACCCACAGATTGGGCAATGGCCTCAGATTGGGTAAGGGAGAAGAGGACAATTTCCCACCCACTTACCAGTAGCCCATTCCCAAATCCCCGGCTCAGATTCAGCCTTGCAAGCCATGCTTCTTGGTCGGGGGTGTAGGACTTCAGGTTGGGCTCCCAGTGCAGTCCTCCAGGGGTCCCAATTCAGCCTTCTAGGGTTCCAGAGGGGGCTAGATCGCTTCCTCCCCTAACCCCCAATCACAAATCTTTCAGTGGTTTCCTGGTGTGTGTGTGTGTGTGTGTGTGTGTGTGTGTTGCAGTTTTCTGAAAGGTTGAATGCTGCAGTTACTGGTGGTAAAAGCTTTAAGCTAAGCATGTGAGTATTTCTGGTAATTTGGCCCTACGCCCTTTGGCATTTGGAGTCGTGCTGCATGAGAATATGGGCCCCCAAAAGCTTCTCACAAGTGGAACTTGGCCGGTGGGCTGAGAGTGATTGTGCAGCCTGGCTGAGATCGAGGACATGGAACTTGTGACCTGCCAGATGTTGTTGGACTCCAACTTCCATCACCCCCAGTCAGCAGAGGCAAAGGCCAGTGTGATGGGAGTTGTAGAACAACTGAAAATACCCCAGTTCTGTCCTAAATAGCATCCCTTTGGAACTCAGCCTCCAGTCCTTTAGTCTGCCCTTCCCACAGCAGCCTTCCCCAGGCTGGCAGCCTCTGGACATGTTAGACTACAACCCCCATCATCCCCCAGCCAGCAGGGTCAATGATCCTGCTGGCTGGGCTTTACAGGAGGTGCAAACCAGCATCCCCAGAGGAAACCAGGGTGGGGAAGGCCTACCTTATCTTTCTGTGAATCTCACCAAAGCTGTAGCACCCCAGTTAATTGGGGAAGGGGTGTGTGTGGAAGGGGGGCTTATAACCCCTCCCCAGCCACATTCTTAGCCCCTTCCCCTTTTTAGGGCATCTCAGGGGAGTGGAGGGTGCCTCAGCCTGAAATTGCAGTGTGAGATTGTGCAACGGCCCCAGCATTACGGCAAGGAGTGCACAACAGAGACCGGAAACCACAGGGCCCCACGCCTCCCCGCAAAACACAAACCAGGTGCAACAGAACTCAAAGGAAAGAGAGTAAGAAAGAAAAAGGACTCTTAATGAGGAGGCCACTCGGTTCTCTGACCAAGCTCAAGAGCGCTGAGCAATCCCCTCTTGCTCGTTAAGGCTGCAGGCCCCGGGAAACGGGACCTCCCTCATTTCGTGCCCATCCTGTTACAGTAAGAGGCTGCGGATGAGTGCCCGGCTGCAACCGTGGACGGATGAGGGCGAGCAAAGCAACGTTCAAGGCAGACAAGACTGAGATGCTCTGGGTGGTAATTCCTCAAACCACACGGAGGAGCCCAACCTGTTCTGGAGGGGTTGCACCCCCTCTGAAAGCGCAGCTCTGTACCTTGGGGGTTCTCCTCCGTCTGTCCTTGTTGCTTGAGGTTCAGGCAGGCTTGGCGGCATGGAATGCCTTCTTCCAGCTTTGACTGGTGGCCCCAGCTGGATAGTGCCACCTGGTCATCTCTAAATCGCACCCCCAGAACTCTGTGCATGGGGCTGCCCTTGGAGACTGTTCCAAAGCTGCAGCTTGCGCCAAACGCAGCAGACGGACCAATAACCTGGGCCGTTCTGACAGTTCGGAGCCCCTGTACAGCCAAGGCCAATCCAAGGCGCCTGGTTTTAACCTATAAAGCCGCACACACCCTGGAACTGCACCACTGCCTCTCCGGACTACAATTCACCCGGATGTTATGATCAGCATCCAAGGCTTTCCACCAAGGGAGGGTCAGGGAGCAGAAATGAGCAGAAAGGAGGTGGCACACTCCCAACTGAGGCGTGCTTCGGCCACCTTTAGCACCGGGTGGGGACTGCCCACGCCAGGCATTTCAACAGGTCTACTCTGCATCCCAATTTGCCTCCATTGTCGCATTCTTGTTCATTGTCCTATTTCAAAATACTCCAGCCCTGGCCTTGAATTGCAGTCCTGTTTAAAGAACTGTACAACCTTCCCAGAAATAAAAAGGATCATTATTTGACCATGAAGAGCAATGGGGGACCTCGTGTGCTGAAGCGTGGGGTTCATTCCCATTCTGTTCCTTTTGCAGCCAGGCGAGTGTACTGCAGTGCAGCCACATGCACCCATGGCCAACGAAATGCCCACGAAGCCTCTCCATTCAGCCAGAGGTTAAGATGAGAGGGGCCGAGCAGGAGGACGGGGGGAGTTGAGCTTCTCCAGCCCTCCCCTCCCTGGGTCCAATCTCCAGGGTGGGCTGGGCCGAGCACGAGCTAGCACCCTGGCCCAGGGCCCCTGTCAAGAGCCAGTCAGAGCTATGGGCAGGCTATCTGGGGGCTGCTTCCCCCTCCAGTAGCCCCTGCTGGCTGGGGTTGGATGGCTGGGGACAGGCTCCTCCTTTTGACAGGTCCTCTCGCTGGGTAAAACTGATCATTGCAATGTGCAAAGAGCCCCTCATCCAAAATGAAATGGGCCTCCAAAATCCCTTAACATGCCAGGTTTCCAGTGGTGCACTTAGCATCTCTGCTTCTGTCCTGACGTCCAACACAGAGACCGACAAAAAAGACTCAAAACAAAAGACCCTCTTCCAAACCACCAGTACTTAAAAGAAAAGTAAGAGACTGATAATTTGGTGGCACCATTAATAACCCAGCCCTGGCCTTTGCAATGCTCTGTCGCTGAGCTTTTTAAGGGTTCGGGTTCACCTGCAGCAACCTGGGATGAGAGCGGGGTTGATGCTCCACACCATGGCTGGCCTGTGCTTCAAGGAGCAGTGATCAGGGCAATACTGAGGACATCATGGCCAGACAGCCTGCAGTGTCCCCTGCCTTCCCTCCACTTCAGACCCAGAGCAGACCCCCGAAATCTAAGGGACTTAGCTTGGAGTTAATTCAAGTCCAAAAGGTTTCAGTGGGTCTACTCCAAGACGAACTTAGCCTGGATCCAACCCTGCTGAGGTTTTAAAATTGCACATCACACCCGCTATCTTCAAAGTGTGTTAGCTTTTTAAGTCTCAGAAACAAAGGTACCTTTTAAAGGTTGGGTTCAGTACTGATAAACCTGCATGTGTGAAAGGGTTGATGCGGGTTGTTCCATCCCCGGAGTTGAAGGAAGATTCAGCTGCCAGTCCACCCAGCTTCTCTACATGGAATGAATTTTGTTCCGCATTTCAAGCAGGAAGATGCCTTGGGGCAACCTTACCTGTGCAGGGGTCCCAAACAGAGAGAGAGAGAAGACAGGTAGTATTCTGCAGTTTTCCAGTTCCTTGGACAACAATTCTGATCGAGCCTGGCCATTGACCGTGCTGGGGGGTGTTAATGAGGCTCCCCCACCCCATACCTGGAGAGCACCAGCTGCAGAAGCTTGGAATACCTCAAATTCTGATAGTGCATGGCTGCTTCTTCTTTCAAACATTTTCTCGCCTCATCCCAACCAAGTAAAGCTGGTTTCAGCCCTCAGCCCAACAGGCTGACACAACTGGAGGCATATTTCAAGGAGAGTTTGGTTACAAAGGAGCTGAACTGGCCATCAGTTGCCCATGGTCAAGGCACCAAACCTTGGAAGAGCCACTTGGCATCACGTAATAGGGGAATATCTGAGAGCCACATCCCAGGATCAAGAGCCACATTTGCCTCAGGAGTCAAGAAGGCTATTAATGCAGAATATGTATTTTAAGATACATCCATACACATGGTAGATAAATTGGGGATTATAGAAGAAATGGTTCAGTTGCTTGCTTTCCATCAGGCCCTACTCTTTAGAAGCCTGTATTGTGTTTTTACTTGGGTTTTAGTGGTCAAGAAATGCAGAATAGCTCTTGGATCTGTGAAATACATTTTCAGTCATAGACTAAGGGGCATCCTTGCTTTTGGTGATATTTGGTAGTCCTCCTGTTGTTGGTTCCTCTCATTGTTGTAAAACAATAACCTAAAATGCCCTTAATGGAAAGGAAATGCCTTTTCAAGAACGCCTAGACTCTCTAAGTTTTCTCCCAAAATTTCCCCTTGCATCCTCATTTCTTTGCATGTGAAACCTCCTGACTTCTAAATACTTTTTACAATTTGAAAACTGGGGGAAAAAACCAGAAACGTTTGCACACCAACAATGCTATTAAAAAAAAAGTTTCAGAGACTGCAAACTTGGTCACACCAATAGGAAACCAGCACCGGCGGTTTCTCTGACTTCACTTCCCAAAATTAGACGCGCGCACACACACACACACGCACACACACACACACACACCCAAGCCCTGTTCATCCGGCCCCCCGTGCAAGATCAAGCCCTGCCAATGCAACTCCGCCGAGTGCCCATGGAGCTCTAGGGAGGAAGCCACAGGTAGAGGCGTGCCATGGATTGCCCCATCAAGGTAAGTTCTGGAGATGTTTCTCCAGCTTTGCTGGCAGCCGATTCCCTCACCCCCATCTCTGTCTCGGGCTTGCATGGTGCTGTCTCTGGTTCAGTTCCTCTCTCTCATACACACCCAGCTCCAGATACAGGGGCCCCCTCCGCTCTTTCCTTTTGGTACAAAAAAATTTCCTCTTCCTTCCCTTTCGTGGCGGTTGATGTATCTGAGTTTAAAAACCCAAACCAAACCACCACGAGAGACGCCTTCAGCTCTGAAGTGGAGAGCCCCTTCCATTGTGGAGTTTGACCCCAGGAGGGTCAGCCGATGAAGGAGGAATCGGGGTTCTGCAACATTGTCCTGAGTGGACACAGAGGTACCCCCATTCCTTCCCAGATGAGTGGGGTGCCAGGGAGACCCACACTTGTTTGTCAAACCACAGAATTCCAGGGACGGATATGAAGTGTGGAGGACACTTCGACCCCCCCTTTCCCCATACTGGAAGTACTTCCCATCATAAGAGGTCAGTTTTATCTTCATTTTGGATTTTAGTCACTATAATTTTCCAGCTTTCACCACCGTTTATCATTTCTGACTTTTACCTCTGTATTATTATCCTTTTTTTTAGCATTTTCCTGTTCATCAAACAATTGAGACTGGGTTTGCTAACAAGACCCCGAGTTACACAGATGCCTTGGGCTTTGTGACTCTGTCAAACTTACACTTTGATTCAAAAATCTGTGCTTGTTTTATACAACATGGGTGCCTTATTGGAGAAACTTTCCCAGCTAGCTTCCAAAGCTGGGCCTAAGAAAACAAAACAAGAAAAACAGCAAGAACTCTTTAAATTTTTGCTTTTGCTTTTTTTTTTTTTTAACTTTTGTACTGTTGTCTTGATAGGGAAGGGGTGGAATGCTGTGGTCAGGCTGGGATGTTGATGAGTCTTAACTGATCTAATTTTCCAAAACAAGGAATACTGGGCCACTGTGATCAGTGGTAGGTGACAGAAAGACACAAGGGCTTGGTGGCTGGAAGGCAGTCCTGTACCTTACAAGCTGCACCAATCTCGCTTTTTGAGTTCTCTGTGATGAGGCGATTTGAACTGAGTCTCGGTCTGTGCAACTGGTCTCTTCCAGGGTAAGCAGACCACTGAACTGGCGCCTTGCCAAGCGTGCCCCTGCATACCCCTCACGCACGGTGCTCCTTGCATCTCTTCTGCAGAGCCTTCTGCAACCACAGTAATTTGAATTTTGCGTTATTTGTCAAGTTTGACTTCTTTACTGAAGCAATGACGCTCATGCTTCAGTTTACTTCTGTGGTAAATTTGGTGACAGCATTTACTAAGGCTGCAAACGCCATATCCATCTGCAAGGCAGAAACCGTGATGCTGCCTCAGAACAGCAGTAACCACAAAATACTGGAGGTGTCTCTGTTTTGTAGAAGTCTCTCGTAGGGTTGCCAACTGACCAGAAAAAAGGCCATATTCCTGCTCCTGTAGCAAGTGAAGCTGTTTGACTGTAGGAAATGATCAGCACGATCACCTGACTGAGCTGCCTGTGCACTAACAGGATCGGCATGCCTGCGCTGGACGGTTGTTGAGGGTCTCGGCAGGAGGCGTTTGCTCTTGAAGGCTCTCGTGGGTGACTGGTTTGCCACCTTGCCTGCAGAACGCTGGGTTGCGGTCTTTAGTCCTACCCAGCATGGCTTTTCTATGCTGTTTTGTCGAAAGGCACAGATGCTAAAGAAAATGGGCAACTCCAGTAGCCAGGCCTTTCCCAACCACATTTAAAGCGACAAATCGCTTTCATGGTGCAGTTGGGGAAAATATCGACACTGCAGCTGCCAGAGCATGTTCAGAGGCCAGCTCTAAGCCGTGTGGCATAGCAGCAAAGAGTGTGGGCTCTGAGTCACACAGCCAGCTTGTTCTCTCTGCTTCTGTCCTGGGCCTCTTTCATAACATCCTGACCTGTAGGCAAGGCCTGGACACAGAGCAATGGGAAAAGCCTCACGGGCTTAATTTCCACCTGTCGAGCCACTGATAACATGTAGAGAGGCAAGGTCAGTAGAAATTTGTCAACCTCACAGCTATCAGCAAAACACCATGGGTCAAATCTCAGCCAAGCCAGATCAGTGGGTGCCCTGCTGTGCCTCCCCATCCTTGTCTAGACCACTGGGAGAGTAACCCTGATCTCATAAGGGCATAAGAAGAGTCCTGCTGGATCTGCACAAAGGCAGTCACCCTCCATTATCGCTCCCTGCAGCTGGTTTCAGCCTCTGAACTGAGGCAATCCACTCAGCTATTCCGACAGAGAGCTGCTGATAGATCCGTCCTCCACGGTTTTGTCTAATTCCTGTCCAAAACTATCTAAACTGGGGACCATCCTGTGTCACTGAATTCCATCAAAGAGCGATAGCCTTGCACGCTTGATCTGCTCCACCTTAGAGGCTTGCCAAAATTGTTGCCACACCTTTAACCCTTCTGTAACATGCAGAAACTTAGAAGAAGAGGTGTTTTCTTTATATGGAGAGGTGGGGAAGGCTCTGTGCATTGGATTGCTTTGGTAGCAATCTTGACAGGGAGATTATAATATTTTATTTTATTATATCAATCCCCTCTTACGTGAGGATGGACCTAAAAACCTGTCTCTTGGACAAGTGCTTTAGGGATCAGAGGAATCTTTAGCATATGTTGTTGCGTACGTTTGCAAGTAGCGATGGTAAGAACATAACAACCTTGCTGGAGAGGACCAAAGGACTACCTGGTCCAGCATTCTCGCCCCACTGCAGCCGATCAGATACTTACAGGAACCCCACAAGTGGGGCATGGAGTGCAGCAGCCCCTTCTGGCCCATGTTCCTCAGCAACTTGGTACACAAGCATCCTGCCTCTGATGCCGGTCTGGTGGCCTTCTTCTCCACCAGTCGGGGGCCATCACTGATTTCTGTGATAGCAAACGGCATCGCTTAACCGTGTTTTGTGAAGCGGTGGGACCATTCATGCGTCCTGCGTCCCCCACCATTCAGCTTCACCGAGTGACCCCAGCTTCTAGTATTATACATAAAAAAGAGATAACTTCCTCTCTCTCTACTTTCTCCATGTTAGGCACAGTGGTATACACCTCTGTCACGTCTCTCCTTTTCCAAAGCTCTATATTTCTTACCTTTCTTCATAAGGTTACGGATCAAGATCCGTGATACAAAACGCATGTTTCTTTTAGTTGCACTGTCTGCAGCTTCTCTAGCTCTGCACTCTCCTTTCTGAGACCCAAATGTCCCTGCATGCTGTATTCCAAGAAAGGTCTTGCCATATATTTGTGTAAGAGCTGCACAATATTGATAAGCTTATTCTTGTATTTCCCTTATGACCCCAAACATGGAATTGCTTTTGCACAGAGGCTGCCCACTGGCTCCACAAGTCCTGTCCCCTTCAGCTCCGGGAACCCATCTGTGTAAGCTCAGAGGGACGTTTGCCCCAAGCCAATAACACATAACTTTACGTTGGCTCACATTTCACCGCATCTGCCATTTTGGTGCGCAGTTTGGAGGGAATCTTGTGGAATGCTTTGCTTTCTCTTTTTGTTTTAACCTCCCTGAATAGTTTGGTGCAGTAGCTTGCTGCGTGTGTACATGTACCAGATAAAGCAGAAACAATAGCTAAAGGGAGGGTTGGAACTGACTTATGTCCCCCCCCCACCCCCCCGCAACGCTCAGGATTTCAATAGCCAAACAGGAAACTCTGTCCCCATTCCTCACCTCCCCCACCCCCTCCCCACCAGGCCTTCCACCCCCTCCTTCATTATGGATGATGGGAGAGCTATTTAAAGCCCCGCTGGCCAACGGGGGAGCTCCAAGCCTCAACTCTCCATTAGCCAGACCTTATCAGCACTAACAGAGGCTTCCGGCATTGTGGCCTCAGCCTTCCTGCCTTGACTTCCTGTGTTAGCTGTCCCACCAGCAACTCCGAGGTATGGCTGCTGCCCCCTCCCTGCCTTCACAACCACCCCGCCCCCCGTCCCCCCCCATTTCAACAACACCCTTGCATCGCCCTTCTTCCCCGTCGCATCGCGTCACTCTGACCTGTGAGCTCATCATGCACCGGTCCTCCATGCTCCAGGCTTGCTCTTGCTGCACACTGCATGCTGCGCATGGGGATTCTTCATAATTCTACACAGCCACACACCGGGGGAGTCACTTACACGTCCCATCAACGATGGGGGAAATGCATCGGCAAAACGAGTGGACGAGAGAGAGAGCGGACTCTTGCACAACGGTTGCGCGTGCTGCTTTGGACGCCCGGGTAGACTTCATTTAAGCACACCCATGTGTCTCCCCACACTGCAGAAGGCCTTCCAGATGGCCTGCGTGTCTGCGCAGCTCAGGGACTACCTGTTGATGGGCAACTGCAAAGCCCAGCTTACCCTCCTTATGGGCTTTTGACTTTGCACCAGACTTGGACTGGACTGTCCATCAAACAGAGGATGCCTTTAAATATAGGGTTTGACAGAGGACTGTCCCCTGCAAAATAGGACATATGGCCACTCTAATATCCCTCACACATGTGCATCCTCCAAAAGGCTTCCCCACCACAGCGGGTTTTAGTGCCACACTTGGATGGGACCCTCTCTCTAGGCGGATCCACCTTCTCCTCACAATGATTTGCTTCCTTCTTCCTCCCCGACTTCCTTGGACATTTCTTCTTACCTCATTCCTTCTGGCTAGCTCTTCATTCAGTTAGCCTGGATTTTCATTTATTGGAACAGGATTTAGCAAGTGGGGTTTTGTAAAATAATAATAATAATAAAAGCAAAAAGCAAAACCATTATTTACTTTCAGCACTGAACGTAGGCACCTTGCTTTGGAACAGTCGCAACAGGACCTCACCCTTGGAAGGCGGGAGGATTACAACTAAAACAAAACAAAGAATCACTTGCTGTCCAGCTTCCTCCACCTCTGAATCCGGGATAAACTGCTCAGTCCTGCTGAAGCTGTTGTGGCAAAAGCGCAGCCCAGGCGGGGGCCTCCTCC